GGAAGAAACGAAGAGGATGGCTAAATGAAGAATAGTGCACAATTTCTTTTCGTTTATGATTACATTGTCTGCCTGTCTGTCTGTAAAAAGTTTGTTTTCAGATAAGTGGTGCTTCTAGAGACTTATAGCTTCCTCCTCATATTTATCCACACGCTGTAGAGGATTTGCAAAACTTTAAGAGTTAGATCTTTAATATCTGTTGATCTTTAATGCTTGGTATTCCTCAAAAGAATGACGAAACTATGGGTAAGGGAAGTACGTACGTTAAAGGTGCCTCCAACCCAATAATTCGGATTCACGATTTATCAACTTAAATATTTTCGCTTTTTTTTCTCCAATTTGCTCACAGCTTCGGCGCCCTTTAGCACATCCATTCGAACTAATTGACTTGATAAACAAAACTTGATAGTTTTAATTTAATGTGATGCAAAGAATATTGGAAGCGGAGTGTTAGTGACGAAAGAATAAAGGTAGGCAGTTGACCTTGAGTTAGGCTAGTGACTAGTTTTCTGACTACCATGGGCACAGTTGAGTAGATATAACGAAATTCGTTTGCAGGCTTGCAAATTGCACTCTAATGTGAGTGTTGAAGGGTTGCAATGGGGCATTTTCCTGTTTGATATTGGTTTGATTGAGCAGGTCTCATTGGCGCCGCTCCGAATGTCTGTTGACTTTGAGTTAGGCTTGTGAATCATTGCCTACCTCCGTTGACACAATTGAGTAGATTTAACTGAACTTTTTCATGCTGGCAAATTGCACTTGCATTTGAGGTTTGAAGCATCGTTTTGCGGCCGCATTCTGGTCACTTTTGGCTTGACTGAGCAAATCGGGTTGACGTCCTTGCGAATGACCGTTGACCTTGAGTAAGGCTAGTGAGTATTTTCCTGACGACCATGGGCACAGTTGAGTAGATTTAATGGAACTCGTTTGCATGCTGCAAAATGGCACTTGAATAGGAGATTTGAAGTGTCGTATTGTAGCCTAATATTGGTCAGTTTTGGTTTGACTTCGCGAATCCCATATACTTCTTTCCCAATATCTGTTGACCTTGTTTTACGCCAGTGAATACACTCAGGCCATCCTGTTCACTGTTAAGTACATTTAATCAAACTCGTTTCTATTTTTCCAAATTGCGCATGAAAGTGACATTTAAATGATCGCATTGTGGTCTGTTCTTGGTTGGTGTTGGCCTGAATGCGCGAATCGTATCGGCTTCTCTTCGAATTACTGTCGACCTTAAGTTACACTAGTAAATACATTACGACTGTCCTATTCACCTTTGGGCAGATACAATCAAATTCATTTCCACGTTTCCAAATTGCACTCGAATTGGAGATTTGAACGATTGTATTGTAGCCTGTTCTTGGTCGGTGCTGGCTTGACTGCGCGAATCTCGTAAACTTCTCTCCGGATGATTGTCGACCTCTAGTTACCCTACTGATTTCATTTTAACTCTAGATGGGATTCCTGCTATTTTTTGGCGTTTATTTGCATTTTGTCCTTCCCGTCTTAACTTGCGTTCTTTTCTATAAATAGCATATTGTTACTTTGAGTCAACGTGTATATACCGTGTCCTTGTTATATTTGTCTTTTTTTAACTTCTACTATCTAAGCTGTTTGGACTTCTGAGGTGTGATTTGAAGTCTTCGTCCGCCTTTAGCCCTTTTAGACATATATGATTGGATCTTTTCTATAATTTCAATTGCAGAATGATACTTCTTGCGTCTGATGGCATTGCTGTTTAAATAGACTTCAGGCGGGGGTCAAGTCTTGATATTTGTAAGTTCCTCTCAATGCACTGATCCGCATGTTCTAATAAATGTTTCTGAAGAGAAGTAGAAGTAGGTAATTGAGCCTGAACTTGCTGGCCTCAGTTGACTCAAGTTTACATTTACAGACTGCGCTCTTCGCATTTGTGCTTTTTTGTCAGTCTTATTATAAAATTTGGCACTTTACATTTTGCATTACGCATTCACATCAAATTGCATAAAATTAGACTTGATGACCACTTACAATATAAATGGGATATTAGGGTAGTAAAAGCACATACCCTAAGCGATATTCGGAGGGTTGTTTTTCACTTCTAAATATTAACTAATAAACATTAGAGAATTGCAGGAGTGCTAGTATTTGAATGCGATATCAGTGGACTTTTCTCATACCCTAGTAGCGACATTAGAAATTCGTTTGTTTTTCACCTTTTGTGCTTGATACATGATATACGAAGGAAGAAATATGGATGTCGGTCCATCTGGAGTCCCAGCCGCCTTTGCTACTGTTGTTGCAGCAGAATTTGCAATGGCGATGGATATCGTTGTGGATGATCTTGGTGAGTTTCCCTCACCTTACAGTGATTTCCATCACCACATTACTTCTTTTTCCATCAGAATATGTTTTCCTGCCATTTAAACATCCACACCACGGTGATATTTGTATTTACGCTAAATTCCCACACTCTCAAATAGTTTGGTTCAGTCAAGCCACGGATTTGCTTAATCACGCAATTCGTTTAGATTGTAAACGCCTATCTTGGTCAGCAGTTGTGCAGGCCCAGCCCTCATATCAAATCCTTCTTGCCTCAGGCTTGTCTGTTTTGAGGAAAGGCAATTTGGAAATCCTTGAACTTGATCAGGATTTTTTTACTTTATCAACGCGTTAATATACCGAAGCTCGCTTATCAATAAACTTTTTTGCTTCCTTATTTGTTGAGAGGATTCAAAATTTGCGTGATTTGGCTTTGTCCGTTCAATTATTTCCAAACACAGTCACTGCCATGTTTTCAGCGACAACTATCCAGGTGTTTTATCGTTCCCATTAGGTTTTAGCCAACTCAGTCATTGATGAAGGGAAATAAATGTGCAGGTCTCCTTAGTCAATGGTGAACCTACACTGCTTCTTTCTGATTTTGAATTAGCTTTTCTTTCGATGCGGCAACTTGGCGCGTTCATTCGCTATATGGTGGTTTAGTAGCCGTACTACACATGTGACACCGGTTTCTGAGAAATAGAGATAGGAAATGAAAATTACGACCTTTTAATGATATATAGTCGGCGTTCTTTTTTTAGATCATGAAATTCATGAAGCCCATTAAATTTATACACAAATGTCCAGTTCATCCTACCCAGAAAGGTGGTTTGTAACTGATCAGTTAGCCAATTTCAAAACTGTTCTA